TGCAACAAATAAATAAATTTTAAACATGACGATTTAAATGATTGATTTTAAAAGGGCTTTAAGATGTACTTGAATTTAAGATTTCTCACGAAATCCGTTTTAAAGTCAAAATTAAATGGCCCGATTGAATTGGCTAGTTTTAGAAAGACTTTTTAAGAGCATTTGAAATAAGAGTTCAAATGCTGCTCTGTTTGAAAGATATTTTTAGAACGTTTTATCTTAACTGAAATTAAGAAAAGCTTTAAGAAATTTAGTGATTCACTTATTTGAAATTATTGTTACAAATTATGAGAGTATTCTTTCTTATATATAAAAAAAAAAAAATGTTCCGCAAATTTTAAGAAACCCCAGTAAGTACAAGTTAAAGTTTAAGTTACAGTGGCGGCCTCATAGGAGGGTCGTCACAGTAGTTTTACAAATTGCTCCCTAAATTTTTAATTTTAGTAAGTTACCCCTTTAACTTGTAAAGTTGTTGCAATATGCCCCATTTTGACGACGATTGTGTTAAATTAATGTCAAAAAGCATGTTCAGCCCAAAAATTTTATCATTCCAATCTACATGTTCGTCACAGTAGTTTTACAAATTGCTCCCTAAATTTTTAATTTTAGTAAGTTACCCCTTTAACTTGTAAAGTTGTTGCAATATGCCCCATTTTGACGACGATTGTGTTAAATTAATGTCAAAAAGCATGTTCAGCCCAAAAATTTTATCATTCCAATTTACATGTAACACAAATCCTTCAATATCTCAACCTTTAATCCCATAAATCTAATTAAAAAATTTGAGCAAATTTAGTTAAATGGCGCAAATTGCAACAAATTTATAAGTTTGAGGGGCAACTTGCCAAATTTAAAAATTTAGGGGGTAATTTGCTAAACCACGACAAGTTTGGAGGCCAATTGTGCCAAAAACCCCTATTGAAATGTCATACGAACTCATCATAGTTTGAAATGTGGGTACACAACTTTTGATAGGGTTGGACATTCTACTTATTGGAACAAGCATCTTATAATCGGGTCACTAGTCTGCATTCAGTCACCTCTCTAGCATTTTGAAAAGATGATGAGCTATAAATGCAAGCAAGAGATGGTCGTATTGTATCATATTAAGGAACTTTCTATTCCGGAATCGGTATTTCTAGTGACAAGTTTTGCCTTTTCGTCCCTCAAGAGTTTAGTTTCATAGAAGAGACCAAATATGCTTAATTGCCGAGGGAACTCATGTCAGCCATCGTATTCGCTTTTATTTATTTAATGGTGAACCATCATAAAGAAAAATAATCATTAATTAGTGAGCCAGCCTTCCAAATAATTTATCTATTATGACATATGTATGTGTTATGAAATTTTAGAAATTGCTACGTATAATAAGTATTCATATTAAGAAATAATTTTATGAAAGATCCTTGAACTTTTTTCTTTTTATAGAAATAGTCCTTGTGTTGAAAGTTTTCCTAAACTGAATAAACATGTCAAAGTTAGTCCTTCTATTAAATAAAGGGATGGCAAAATTTAAATATATGAAGTAGTTAATAATTTAGTCCCTACATAATTGTGCTATAGTTAGTCCTTCTATGAATTAAAATATAGAAAATGCTAAATATGAGTGGTTTCAGTCTTGTTCTGAGTCAATCTTTTTGTAGTTTTTTTTTTTTTTTTTTTTTTTTATAGGGGTGGTTTCGGTTTTTTTTTGAGTAATTTTTTTTTTTTTTTTTTTTTTTTTTTTTTTTTTTTTTGTTCTTTTAAACAAAAATGATTTTCTGAAATTTTTTTGATAATTGTCTTTATGTTTTAGGTTGGAGTCAGGGTTGGGACATGGTCGAGATTAAAGTGCGAGGTTGAATTCAAGATGATCTATACCAAGGTGGTTCGGGGCCAAATCAAGACCATAATTGTCTCAACCGCTATCATGTCCCCATTGCAACCATGTAAATCGCAACTCATCTCTCGGTTCCAAACCCAACTTTGGCCACAACCCTAACCTCAACTCCGGTTATAACGACCTCTTAAATTACTAACCATTACAGGTTTTTATCATTTAAACATTCATTCGTTCTAATTAAAAGACTTGCGAATAGAAATTTAAATTTTTATTAGAGGACACATATTGTAATTGAAAAGGTTTTAACAAAAACTTTTGGTTTAAACTTGTGAAATAAATAAAGGGAGTAATTAACGTCAACCATCGGGCGGACAATATCCCTCTTTCTTGTATTGGTACGAAACACACGTATTGACTGCATAGAGACAATAATGCAAAAAGAAAATGTCACGTTTTTAATAGGTCTTGCATTCGACGTTGTTAAAAATCATTCTGGCTTTTGACTTTTGACCAAGTCCGGAGGGTAATACGATTTCTGTGCCTCTAAAATCCATTTGAAAAGAAAAGTTGTAATTTCTCAAAATGTTGTACTACGCATAACTTATGTGAATTTCCTGCTATATATGTGCTATTTTTTATGTTTGCGTATATTTATGTTCTCCAAATTATGAAGTTAAGTGAATTTAAGGCCCGTTTATTTTACTGATTTAAGTTTAAAATTCGAGTTTTACAATAGTAAAAAACTCTCAGAAATAGTTACATCTAACTATTTTACTACAGTAAAAAATTCTCACATAAAATCACATCTCAACTCGAATTAAAAGCTCAAATCAGTGAACTAAACGGACCCTTAGAGTCTTTACTGTTGATTATTCGGACTAAATAATCCAAGGTGCGCTACATACCCGACGCCAGCTATATATCAAATGTTGTAGATAAAAAGACTATTATACTGATCTTAGTTATTTATTAAAACATTTATACCAAGAGATGTGATAAATTAAATCGGTAATTTTTAATTTGTAAAATACAACTTTCTAAAACTATATCCACTAAAAAATAAAAATTCATATGAATATATATAGATTGGATATAACAAAGGCTCAAGAGAAACGTTTTTTTTTTTTTTTTTTTTTGCTACTGTAAGACTCGAGAGACTTCCTTGCCTATACGAAAACGCAATCATCTCAGTAAAACATTAAAGGTAAGTTAAAAGGTTATAACGTATATGTCTTTGTTTATAAATGTTGATATCGAAAACAACATAAATTTTTCAAAGGAGTAATACTAATTATTACAACTTGCCATGGCCGAAAATAGCCGGAGGAAAAGTGGGATTTTGATTATTGGCTTCATGATGGTATTACTTGCACTAGCAATTATGGTGCAAACAAGTGCTTCGCAAACTGATCTCTTTTCACCAGCAATTCCCAGTTCAATTGATGAAGTAAATGGCCAGCTTCCTAAACAACGTATACCCTTCAATCACCATTCTTGTATTTTAGATGACCTTAAAAAGCTTTGCCTTCTTCACTCAAGAAACCCTCTTCGTTTTGGACATTGTGCGGAGGACGTAGCAGCATATTGCATGGCGGTCAAGGAATGAAGATTTTTGGATTAATTTTATTGGTGCTTGAAAGTCATTCTCACTTTATTCCTTAAACTTTGAAAGCTTTTATTTTGCCTCCTGAATTTTAAATTTGTCCCATTTATGCATTACTCTCTTTTTTTATCTGTTTTTTATAGAAATTATAATAAAATGGATTAAATGAGAACAATTTAAAGTTCAAGAAATAAAGTGAGAATTTTTAAAATTCAAGTGACAAATTGAGAATTATTTTAAAGTTTAAGAGGCATCAGCGATAAAAATCTAAGATTTCTTTTACCTCTGATATGTAATCATTTTGATATAATACTTATGTATTTGATTTTACCCAACTATATACTCTGTTCTTATTTATAGGGTTTATGTTTTTGGCCCTTTTTCTAGTACCAAAGTTGCATGCCAAAACCAAGTCTCGACGCAAGCTTAGGGTCTCGTTTACTGAAGATGGTTCATAGAAGGAATATAGTTTAAAAAACACATTAAAAAAATGATTAAATCGTGCAGGAGTCTAGTTTAGTTAAAAAAAAAATGGTTCATAGAAGGAATATAGTTTAAAAAACACATTAAAAAAATGATTAAATCGTGCAGGAGTCTAGTTTTAGTTTATTTAAAAAAAAAAAAAAAAAAAAAAAAACAACAACAAACAAAAACAAAAACAAAAGAATAAGCAGGCATGGATTTTTGAAAGAAACCATTTTACTATAAGCAAATTGTAGAAACGTCTATACTTAGTCTATGATATTTTGCTTTGTTTTAGTTTTGGCTACTTCGTTAATTAAGTAATATTTGACGGAATTTATAGTTTTGTATAAATATTTAAGGACCAAATTTAGAAACAATTAAAACTTAAGGACTATATGTAAAAATTAATTTTTTTTATTATTTTAATATCTAAATTTTAGATTTTTTTAATTTTAATTCTTAATTTTTTAGATTTCATCAAATATTTAACAGTTACCTAATGAATGAATTAAAATTAAAACAGAGTAAAACTTAGAGACTATCAATGAGACGTTTTAAAAATTAACAACCAAAATAGGATTGAGAGTAATCTTAGGTATCATTTTAAATTTTTTTAATTTTAATTCTTAATTTTTATAGATTTCATTAGATATTTAACAATTACCTAATGAATGAATCAAAATTAAAATAGAGCAAAACCTAGACGTTTTAAAAATTAGCGCCCAAAGTAAGAATGAGAGTAACCATTTATGAGATTAAAGTTGAGGTAGAAAAAAAGTAAGATAGGGGCATAAATGTAATTTCCTTCCCATGTCAGGTAATTTAGTCATTTTATGCATAGGTTTCCATTACATCAATCGGGATATTTTCCCGGTTGTCCCAATTGGTTCGATTCTTCTTCTTCTTCTTCTTCAAATAAATTGGCCAAATTTCCCACTCCATTTCACTTCCAAAAAAAAAAAAAAAAACACGGTGGCCGGTTCCAACCATGTGGGCGACGCCAACGACCATCTCCTTCCCTCCGAGCGCCAACCCCGTACGGATACGGATACCCATTCTCCGCACAAATCGTACGGAATTCAATTCTTTGAAGCTCAGAGCTTCCTTCTTCGATTATCCTCTTGCCAGCAGAATCATCGTTAGAAGTAAAACTCATTTCTCTTTCATCTTCTTTTATTTTCTTTACGCTTTAATTTAATTTAATTACTTTATCCCTTCATTTTCATAGGTTTATGATATAGCTTATGAATTATGTATTTTTGTTCTGAATATTTCTTTTTATAAATTTTATTCTTCATTCTTTGGATTCTGATATACTTTTTGACGGATAATTGAGCTTTAGCTATAATTTGATTGTTTTTCCCGAAAATTTGATCTATTATTTATCCCCAATTATGAAAAAACAAAAAGTAGATGTATAGTTATTTTAGTCTTTTTTTTATGGGATTCATAAATAAAAATTTTGTATTTGGAAATATGTTCAATGTTAGAGTTGACAACTTGTCAAATAGTAAGTTTTAATCTTTCTCAAGTTGATCAAGTTAGCAGAGTGTCGAGGCAGAAAATTTTTTGCTTCTTATCACTTCTTGTCAATCAATACTATATGCATTATATCATTGAGCTAAAAGGGTGACAAAATGGCTATACATAACTCAAATTTCGAGCTTCAAGGAGAAGAGTTGATCTTTTTATTGGAAGATCAGCTCTGTAGGCATTAATACCTATGGTTTAACGAATTAAGTATCAAATATAAAGGAAAAGAAAGCTAGAGAAGCGACACTTCGTGGTGCGGAAAATAGTGTAGAAAATGTTCTTACTTGCTATGGGCAACTGTTGTGAAGAAAACTAAGTATTATGACCAAGGAGCTTATCTTTGTTTTCGCCAGCCAGTTATCTTGATGGCGGAGCAGATTTGGATTGTAGTAGGGAATGGTTGCTCCTGCATATGGTATAAAATGAAGATGAGTTATGAAACCCTTGGTGCTTAAATTTGCAGCGTGGTGTCTGTTCACAAACTATAATCATTCTTATTAATACCTGACATAAGAAGTCAGTCTTGGTACTGTAGCCATGATTGAACTAATGGTATGAAGTTATAAGATCTGTGATGCTGTTATTGCTACTATATTTAAGCACTTGTGATCTTTGCAACATGAAATTTATTTCATGATTGCCTTTTTTTCGGGGCTAAGCCTGAAATTTTTACTCGTCTTTGTCGAAATCCTTTTGCGATGTTTCTTCTCTTCCTGTATATTGGAACCTCTTGATTTTATCTGTAAATCTTAGGTCCCCAGTATAGTTTCACTTCATACTTTGTTACATACTTTAACATGGTAAGGTCAATACTTATGAGGTGTTGCAGAAAAAGAGGCCTTTAGTGTCTTTCTTCCATGGTGGTGTGCCTCGTGCAGGGCTTATTTGAAAAATGCTGATCATTGCTGTTTGGTTTCTTCTTTTGGGTTAGAGTTTTGAAAGAAATTGGATTCTGTCTGATGGTCCGTCAAAATTGTTGTTCCTTCTTGGTTGAGGATTTTTTGGGTGGACTTTTTACTCTGAGTAGCAAAGGTCTTTGGTACTTGAGTGTTCATTTCTCCATTTTTTGGATCATTTTCCTTGAGAAGAATTCTTGGAGATTTTGGGAAAAATTTTACGAAGGGATTTTTCTATGAGATAGGATTCAGCTTGGCCGTCTCTGTGGGCTGTTCTTCTTCTAAATAATTTAGACACGCTCCTTTCTTTTTGATTTTTAGACACCAGACTAGTAGTTGCTTTCAACTGTTGCTCTTATACTCTTCTGTTTCTGCTTGTTCACTTGTGAGGATTGCTTGTCCTCTGATTTTTCCTCTGTTTTATCTTTTTCTCGTTTTAATAATGTTTCAGTTCCTATCCATTTAGGAAACAAAATAAAAGAAAAAATATATATCTGCAAACCAATAAAAACTGTGCCTAAAGAAGAAGAGGTATTTTATTATCTTTACAAACAATGATATGGTATTTGACAATCGATTGCTTTATAATGACCATTGACTAGGGTGCAGTCCTTGAATGTGATCCTGCTACCCAGCTGGTGTATCTGTGTTTAATTTATTCTAATTACTATGGATAAAGATCAATTGGTCCACTGTTCAAACTCCATCATTCTCAATCTTTTTTTTTTTTTTGGGTCCAACTGTTCAAACTCCATCATTCTCTATCTTTTTTTTTTTTCTTTCGTGTAACATGTACATCCATGAAAACATTATAATTCACACACACACACACACACATCTTTCTGTAACAGATACATTTCATGCATACGTTATATTATACGCACGCGCACTCCTCAAGTTTCTACTCATATTGAGCCTTTGCTTGTAAGGTGATAGAAAACAGGAGAGAAAATCCCAAGAGATTGTGCCATGGGCATATAATTTGCATTTAACACTAAGAGATCATCAAAACTCATGCTATGAAAAATTTTACGCCAATGTTGATGCTCTGCTATGTTATTTGTTGATTCAGATCTACCATATTCAACCAGTGAAAGAAGTTTGCTCGAGAATTTTTCAAACTTTGGCCAGATAGCCGAAGGTAGACATCAAGTCCATCATCATCGGTCTTTAAAAGAAAATATTCTTTGTTTGCTTATTGCCTCCATTTGTGTTTTAATATCTGGCCTCCATTTGTGTTTTAATATCTGTCCTTGTTGACTTGGACTCTGTGGCAGTAAAACTCATAAAGGACAAAATGACAAGAAGGTCCAAAGGGTTTGCCTTCATCCAATTTACCAGTCAAGATGATGCTATGCTTGCCATAGAAAACATGGATCATCAGGTTCTCCTTTTACCACAACATTGTTTTTACCCGCTAAAATAAATAAAGTGAACAAATGAACTACTCAAACTCAACATGTTTCTTTTTTCAGAATCTTGATGGCAGGCTGATTTATGTAGAAATAGCAAAACCTGGGAAAGATGCTTTCGGAGGATATCTGAGAACCTCCGGTCCCCCAAAACAGCAGCAGCATTTACAGGTACTAGAGGAAGCAGCCGATTGTTGGTACTGACGATGAAGAAGTGTAGTAAACGCAACGGATTTAGCGAACAATTATGGCAATTATTGAGATAAAAAAAAAACAACAACAATGGAGGAGAGCATACACAACTAGATTTCCAATAATATGATCAATGCTCTGTCAGTGCATTAACAAGCGTTTCAATCTCTGTTATGTTACTAGCATCTTTGATGTAAGATATGTCTAAAGCTTGTAAAACAAAAAGAAACGACATTTGTTTTTAGATGCAAAGGATAGAAATAACACAGCGCCTAAAGGCAAAGGAGGCCAAGGCATCTGATTTTTTTTCTTCTATTGAGTTGAATACTAAATATGTGATTTTATGTGAGAGTTTTTTACTATAATAAAAAAGTTAAATGTGATTGTTTTTTAGAATTTTTTTACTGTAGTAAAACTTAAATTTTAAATTCGAATTGGTGAATGAACTGGATTAAAATGATATCATTGTGAAGCAACTGTTACTGGATGAATAAGTTGTGCCCTGCAAAGATGGTGCTGCTGGTAAAGAAAAAGAGGAGAAAAGAAAATGGCCCCTCCTATTTCCCAGAATCCAATATGGCACAATCTCCTCTACTCGTGGAGCTGTTGCCCATCTCTCCCATGTCTTTTTTGTCAAAATTTGGAATAACGACACTGCACCACAAGTTCTTTTGTAAGTATCTTAAAAAATACTTCGAAAAAAAATATATTGTAATAAGTGTCTTGAATAGTACTTCTAGAAATCAGTGTATTCAAGATACTTACAAGTGTGTTCTTCAAAAGTACGAAAAGACACTTGCAAATATTCTTCCAAAAAATAAAAAGATTGTAAGTATCTTCAATAATAATAATAATAATAATAATAACTACTATTAAGAACATTGAAAACGACCGCTTCAATCAACGAACTCGAATGATTTTCAAACCAAAATAGTATGCACTAAAAATTGAGCACAAATAAGGCTTTTAACAAAACCTTTACAATCAATGGAAAACTTCCTATTAATTGATGTTGAACGAAGCAACACAAAAATCACAAAAAAAAAAAACATATATTGCGGATGAGAAAGACAAACCAAATACTAAACAAACAAATCAATAACACAAACTAATTAGGGATAAAAACCACTGTTATTACAACCAAAAATAAAAAAAAAATCAAAAGTTAAAATATCAAAACACTAAAGAAAACGAGACCTCTCAATAATTGTAAAACAAGACGACATAAAAGGCCACACACATGTAGACAATAGCGATAAATGATCATGGTTCACCACAAGACTATTTCACTCGTCTCTCAGATAAAAAACTCCACATGGTAGGTCTAGATGACGAGCCCACCATGACCTTAGATTCGATCCAACAATTGTTCTTCTCCACAGGTGGCACAAACCCCACCCTGAACTCAACATGAGATGACACACTTGTAAATAAAATTTAGTGACTAAAGTTCCAATGTTACGCACGAGCCTCAGACCATAAAAGCTTATCTCTTCTTATAAGCTCATCATAAAAGCTCATCTCTTCTTATAAGCTCATCTCTTCTTCTTCTTCTTCTTCTTCTCTCTCTCTCTCTCTCTTTTTTTTTCGCTAGCGCCGACTACGGTATTAAGCGTGAAACATTTTTTGTTTGGTGCTATAATTTTTCAATCTTACCTTTACGAGTGCATGAGTTTTGATTTTTACTCATTATTCTTGATTGATATCCTTTTGACTGATTTAGTTATTTGACTAAAATAATATTAATCAACAGTAATGAGTAAAAAATCTAGACTCGTGCACTTTAAGAGATATTTATTTCATTTAAAAAAAATTTAATAAAAAATTGCTTATGTCTTTATAATATAAGGAGTTTCTCCAGTGACCTCAAGACTTAATTTCTAATCGTTAAATCTGGTCAAAATCATATCAGATTAAAAAATATATGCATAAGAGTCCGTATCTAATATAGAACTAACGACTAAAAAGTAGAAAAAAATACCAATAATTCATTTTTTTAGACCTATTAGAGAACCTCCCAATAAATATCCTCATGAACTTTGCTAAAAACTTGTGAGAGACCACTAATAAGTCTATATTCACCTTAATGTTTCTACTCATTTTTTACTTTTGACTTAAGTGAACAAATTTTTAAAAGTAGCAACAATAATTTCTCAATAATGTCAACACCTTTCAGTAGAAAAGTTTTCATGATATTACAGATTTGATAATTTCTTTGGTAAAACACTGAAAAAGTAACCTATTGAAAAGGTTCTGTTTTTAACCGGAGTTGTTTTGAATATTTTTAATGTGATTTTGATCAGATTTAATGATTAAAAATTAATATTATTAGTAGGAAGTCTTACAAAAAATGACCTTAAAGAATTTCAATTTATTTGTGGTTGATGTTAATCTGCCTTTCGGTTTCTCTATTTCAACCTTCTTCCTTCAAATATTTTTTTGTAATATGTTACTAGTACCTATCGAACACATTTTTTTTTTTGTTAATTTTTTCAAGCGGAACCCATATCCATAATTCATCTAATATTTGTCTGTTTTTGAAAAATAAATGTAAGTGTGGTTCTATTTACACATTCATCTTTACTTTTTACATCATAAATATAAAATGTATCAATTTAAAAGGAATATGGCGAGTTAATAGATCGTGTGTGAATAAAATCATTGTATTTAAGAAAAAAATAATAAAACATTTAAAACATTATGCATTGAAGATTTTTACTTTTTTGCTATGATACAAGAATACTATTTTGAGTTTTTTATATTCTTAAAATATTTTTTTAATAAAATTTTAAGATATTAAATTTCTAATTAAATAAATAAAAATATAGAAATGATATTTTTATATCTCAAAAATTGCTTTTAAAATACAAAAAGAACATTTTTTTTAATTTTCTTAAAAGTCAATAATATCATTTTAATTTTATTAAAAACACACGGTCCATTTGTGTTGGAGAAAATTGAACATCGACGGCTCGCCATGCGCATGGTATGCATTCAATTCAATACAACACTTTGAAAATGCTTGATATATATATATATATATATATATATATTTTTTTTTTTTTTTGCTGATCAAAAGCTTGATATATATTAGACATGGTCAATATTTTGTACCCTTATTTTACATCTTAAATAAAAGGCCTAAAGGTTGAAAGCAATACAAAGCTCCCACAAGCATGTGAAAACGACAAACTAGGCACCGGCAATAAAAAAGGGGCAAAAAAAAAAAAAAAAAAAAAATTTTATGAACTTGACCTTGCTTTTTTGGCGTACGGAAAAAAGTAGTTATATACATTTTGTAAAGAAGGCTACTTCTCTCTCTCTCCTCTCTCCAAACCTCTCTCTCTCTTCGTCTCTGTGGCTGTGTACCCCTCTGGCCCAAGCAAAGCCTGAATTCTTCATTCTCAGACAGAGAGAAAGAGAAGGAGAGAGAGAGAGAGAGAGGAGAAGAAGAAGGAGGAGGAGAAGAAGAAGAATGGAGACTCAAAAGCAGGGCGATGACGGTGAGAATAGCAGCGACGAAAAACCCGTCAGAGTATACGCCGACGGCATTTATGATCTCTTTCATTTCGGCCATGCCCGTTCTCTCGAGCAAGC